ATCACATTTGTAATCATGCTGATTTTTAGAGGTGAAAACTGGCGCTCTTCGTGTGATATTGACTATCTTTCTTTCTGTGGTATTTTTATGCATAACTGTATGGGGAGTGTGTGTGTGTGTGTCATAGAGAGAGAATGAGACAATCAACATGAATGGCGCTTAGTCTTTCACAAAACATAGCTAATTTAGGGACATCATAACTATCCACCATATTGATTTACAGTCTTAAATATGTCCAGCGTTTATCGGGTTGTGCGTCAGTAATAATGGTCCATGGGGAAACACAGTGTTCTGTGTGTAGTTACAGTCTATGGTAGTTACAGTACATGGACTAAACGAAGCCTAAACGATGATTTTTTTGTATTCGAGTTACTCGAGGAATCGTTTCAGCCCTAATCTTGGATGACATGGGGGTGAGTAAATTATCAGGGAATTTTTATTCTGGAAGTGAACTGATCCTTTAAAATGTGTTAGCAGGTAATCACAGTAGTTGTGGTATTCGGACCAATAGCATGATTGCGAAAATTTTGTGTAAAATTGCTTATTATTTATTAAACTGACATTTTGTGTTAAGTAGGCCTGTCACGATAACAACTTTTTGTTTTGCGATATATTACCCCAGAAATAATTGCGATAAGTGATATTATTGCCATTTTAAAGACCATTTTATGCCACTGAATATATAATCATAATGTAACGGCATAATATATGTACGAGAAGCTGCAAAAGACACAGGCGCAAGTGGAATGTACAAAACATTAATTTTTAAGTAAATATAATGGGCGATATATTGCATCACCAAAAATTATTGAGGTCATGTACATGTATTGCGCGATAAGTCGATATATTGATTATTGCGACAGGCCTAGTGTTAAGTGAATATCGAGTGATTTAGGTTTTATTTAGAAATTAAATCATCAAAGCATTGTCACCTACATTGTCTGTTTTTGCTTTGCGAATTAGTTCCAAAAGAAGTCAAATCCAATTCAAGTACTAAAACTGTTAAGGCCTGCTCACAACAAGAACGATAACTATATACACTTAATCGTTCTAATTCTATGAGAATAGTGAAATATAACAGTAACGACACAGAGAAACAATATCGTTGAAATCACTTTTTTTTCCCCTGCTGATGACCGATAAAAACATTGAATCACAGATGACCAGCATTTTCGTCTCATCTCGTTTTCGTCACGTAATAAAGGTTCGTTGACGACGATATTTAGTCATAATTTTCGTTGACGAAAGCAGCACTACACAGAATCCTCCAGACTTTGGAGATCTTGAGCATTGGAAGTGGCAGACGACAAAACTGTAGCGCACTTATAATAAACAGAACAGTGTTGTCCATTGGTGTGGATCTTTATAGCTATTTAGCTTTATAGCTAAAAACGCGTTTACAGTAAGAATGATAACTATAAAGTTTTAATGATCACTTTAATTTCATGAGTTTAGGGAAGTCCACAGCACAACTGGCATGAAGGATTAATATTGTTGGTAACGATATTGAATCATTTTTCAAAGCAATTTTTGATGTAGTTATATTTGTCATTATAGTTTTTGTTGTGAACAGACCTTTAATGTGTTAAAAATGAAATTGTAAATACATAAATATTTAATATGTTTAGCATTGTCAAAATGTTAAGCACTAATTTTAGCTAAATTGCCCTGCTTCAATTTGCATTTTCTGCAATTTGCAGAGACCAGAAGTCCTTCATTTTCAGTGAGAGTTGATGTGAGGTGCCATAAATGGCGGAGTATGTATGTGGATGTAATAAAGTTGAGCAGAGTTGATGAACAGTGATGCACTGTGGCTACTGCCAGTGGGAGTTGCGAAAGTGGAGCCATTTTACCATATTTAAATTAGGACTGCAACTAATGACTATTAAAATAATAAATTAATTTGTTGATTATGTCTTTGTTTAATTGGATTAAAAATTATTTTAATTATTTTATTCCATCTTGCCCAATGGTGTCCTCCAAACAGTGTATACATTTAAGGCTATGAAAATAATGACAGCATCTATGTAGGCTATGATATACATTTTGTGCAAAAATAATTAAAATATAAACATAACATTCTAAAACATGCCCACCGTTAGGGATGTAACGATTACCGGTTTGACGATAAATCATGATAAAAATTCCCCACGGTTAGTATTACCATTTCATCTTTTAATTTTCATTAAAACCGTATTAGATTACCGCGATTTGAACAACTCGCGGTAAATAAATACTGTCCAGCATAAAGCACAGTTTTCAGTAACAGTCTCACGTGCGCACAGCACGCAGAGTAGTTTTGTTTTGAGTGAAAACAGGGCGGAAAAGCTGGGAGGTTTTAAAAGAGCGCTAAGGGAATTATACTTTATTTGAACATTTACGTTAGATATTTCAACATGATATTAAACTGTTGTCAGTCAAGTTGTCATTTAAAATCCGAACATCATTGGTAATGTTATTGTTTTAGTGATTATGCAAACAACAAGTCATTTTATTTGTTGTTGTTGGTTGATTTTTAAATATGAAACTTGGTGAAGCGATTTATGTGTCAGTATCTCCAGCACATTTGAACAATACCGTGATAATACTGATAACCGTGATAATTTTGGATACTATAATCGTGAAATGAAATTTTCATACCGTTACATCCCTACCCACTGTAATAAAGAAAAACAAAATAAACATGCACATATTCACTTGTGTGGATATAGTAATTATTTTACACGTATACCCCATTACAACAGTCTATTTACTTTTACGGCTTTAATAAAAATACAACTGCTGTTATATGTAGCACTTTAAACCTATACTTAATACATCCAATAAAACACATTTAATGTAACACACTTTGGTCTCCCATTTTGTTGTATTCTGTCTGTTTGATGTTCAATGCTCTAAGGACAAGTCTTTATGCAAAACAAATACTCGTGTGGTTTCTAACATTTACAGATGAGGGTCTAACTATAAGATGCAAATTATGCACTGGGGGAATGTATCAAACTGTAAATCTATTCGAATCACATCTGAATTGGTCATCCCTTACTTCTTTAGTGCAAAAACCATTACCAAGTCAACATAATAGAGTTTAATATGTATTCATTACATTTTTGTTTCTATTTGATCGATCTTTAGCTAGATTTAATTGTCTAATTGAGCGCACCAGTTAGCAAAGCATTTAGTACCCTATCACCACAAATTATACATTTACATAATATTTCTTCCTGACTTCATGTGACTGAAATCCTATGTTTCTCCTGTAGAACCAAGCAGCGATGGACAAGAGCCAACATGTGCAGAGGGCCAAACTGGCGGAGCAGGCCGAGCGCTACGATGACATGGCCGACTCCATGAAGAAAGTGACTGAGCTTCTGCGTCAGCCATCAGGCAGCCTTATCAGTGGCGCACGAGATGCGATGTATGTGCCATTGATTGCATTTGAATGCTTGAATGATTTTTAATTGTTTTTTTAATTCGACGAATATTCGAAATTCGAATTTTTTTTGACAGCCCTATGGTGAAAAATGTCCTGTCAGCAAGGTCTTTATTTTTGGTATTGGGAAAACTAGGGTCAGGAATAAAGAACTGGAGCCAGATTCATAAAATAGTCTTAAGAAAAAAAATATTCTTAACTGTTATTTTCTTCTTATTTTTTTAGCCTTTAAAGTGTTTTTCATTCAGTTGATCAACAAGACTTTGGCAAGAATTGCCGTACAGTCAGATAACACCTGAGAAGAAGAAAAAAAAAGACGATGTTCTTAAGAAAGTATTTGAGAAATTCTTAGGATTTTTTAAGAGTTGCACTTAGAAACATTCTCATAAACTTTTTGGAATTTATCTTAAAGTCAGCATGAACGTTGCAATCGTCTTTTCTTCCACGTTGTGAAGTATATCCGAGTGAAAGAGCTTCTTGAATGAGAAAAAAATTTGCTATTGCGAAGTTTGCTATTGCTGTGAATGTGAAAGACAGGTTGTCCCGCACGTCATCAGAGAAAAGATGTTGTTTCAAGAGGGATAGGAAGTTATTTTGATTAAAGGTTACGAAGGCACATGAATTTAACCAAAATGTTGTGCAGAGATAATTTCAAATAAACACTGCAATATGTTACTAAAAAATTAAAGAATTGTGCAGTTAGATTTCATTGTGACTTTAAGAAATTTCTCTTTTTTTTTTTTTTTGTTA